TAATCAGGCCTAGGTCGCAAAAAGACTTTTACCAGTCCTGGTGCAAAGTCCATACACGAAGGACTAATGGAGAGAGCCTGCAGGTCCCCTACCCTCTTAAGGGAGGATAAAGCCACCAAAAGAACGGTCTTGATGGTCAAGAGCTTCTCTGACACCGACTCCATCGGTTTAAAGGGATGGCCTGTCAGGCCCTCCAACACGATCGATAAGTCCCAAGAAGGAACTCGGGCTGGGCGGAAAGGCCTAAGCCGTCTCGAACCCTGCATAAAACGTGAGACCAGGGTGTGACGACCAACCGAAGCACCTCCTACAAGTGAACCAGAAGGGCCCACTGAGCGACAAAAATCACTCCCTCCGGAGTAACTTCTTGGAAAGGTAGCTTGACTAGATAAAAACATGAAAACATACATGTGAAAATGTGTTTTGGTTTAAATAAATTGAAGCTTTCAAGTATGATTTTTGTACATTTACCGTCAATTCCTGCTGATTCCAAGATTTCCGTAACATACCGGATGACCATGTTAAGGGCGGATGCTACGGCATCTGACGGCCAAAATAAACAAACAAATACAATATCATTATGTTTTTCCAAAGAAAAGAACTTCCCAGTACAGCAAGCATCATTAGGTAGTAAGTTGCATTAGCAAATTAGCAAACCACATGGCAAATGACTCTCTTCTGCTTTTCTGAGAACTACTAAGGTCAATAACCTGGCATTTCAGAGCTCCTCAAGTTCACACAGGTGTTTATCACATTAACTGTTGAATATTGCATATTTGACAACCAGAAAGTTTACAAATATTACATTGAATTAATTTTTGTTATAACCTAACAAACTTATTTTTGTCAAATGTCTTGCTTGGTTGCTACTTGGTTTCTCATAGAGCCAGCATTAATTATATTAAACAATGGCACAAAAAGTGTAGTATAAACTTGATAGACTAGATTTTTTTTACAATGTCAGCTCACCTTGAGAGACAGGTCTACTCTCTTTTCACCGATTGTAGAGACCAGGCAACTGTGGGCTTCCTCGGACAAACTTGTGAAAATGGACCGCGCATTTTGGAGGAGTGGACTAGACTGCTCGTCCCATTCGAAAGAGTGACACAACGGTATCAACTGATATGAAACTCAAAGTATGCCTATAATTGTGGTAAAATATAAACACCGACCCATTTTAAAAAGTGCCTTTAACTACGCGTAAAAACACGCCGAAGAACCACCCAAGAGTAGGCCTGTCGCAATAATCATTTAGTAGTATAAATTTATTAATATAATTATTACTTTAATATTATTTATTAGTAGTGTATTCATTTTCCTCATACAAATACAGAACAATAGCAGAGTGAGAAAGTCACAAATACAGAATAATTAATAAGGATACTGACAAAAAGACTACTTTATCTTTGTGCATGATTTGCCTTATAAAGCAGATAAGCCTGTTTAGTGGGGCAACACACCGTGAAAAGAGGGTCAAAAAGAGCCAAGATCGTACGGTCTCATTTCGAGCATTATTTCGAGATATTACATGTTTAATACTTACTGGATAATTTCCATGGCAATTCTCACAGGGTGCAGACTAAAAGTGACTTCTTTCATGTGCAGGAGGAGTTTGACAGCATGACAACGCCTAAAATAAACACCAGTCTATGTATGTGCTGAGAACAGTTACACTGACATGTTCAAGCTGAGCATGTTCACATGTTTTTTTTACTGCCCCCTATTGTTAGTTTGAATTAAATTGAGCTAGAATTCAGCCTGAGATAATATACAGGTAGGCTAAATGGGCAGCTGTCAATATAGCGCTGCAGTGATGACATTTTGGCTATACAAACATGAGACGTCGGCCCGACGTGCAGATCATGTCCATATTGCGTCGGTCGGTCCAGGACCATATCTGTACGTCACGTCTAATCGACGTGCAACTTAAATTTGACAAACAAATAAACTCAGTTGTCAAATCTGCATTTTTCAGTTTAGGATGATTGCCAAAATCAAATCTTTTCTTTCATTTAAAGATGTAGAAACTGTTATCCACGCATTCATTTCATCCAGACTTGATTACTGTAACTCATTGTATTTAGGGGTCGCTCAATCTTGTCTGTCTCGCCTTCAGTTGGTCCAAAATGCTGCGGCCAGATTTTTAACAAAAACTAGGAAGAGGGAAAATATCACTCCTGTTTTGGTTGGTTTGCATTGGCTTCCCATTGAATATAGAATCCAGTTTAAGGTATTACTATTTGTTTACAAGTCCCTTACAGGCTTGGCACCAAACTATTTATCTGATCTTCTCCCCCATTATCAGACCAACAGGCCATTAAGGTCATCAAACACTTTGTTGTTGTCTGTTCCTAAAACACGTTCAAAACTTAAGGGGGATCGGGCATTCTCGGTGGCAGCACCTCAGTTGTGGAATAACTTGCCTCTTTACCTGCGATCGGCCACTTCTCTTCAGGTTTTTAAATCTTTAGTAAAGACATAAAAAGACATTAAAAAGGCTTATGGGCTGGAGTAACTGCTGTATATAGTTTTATTGTGTGTATATTTAGTGTTGTGTATTATTTCTATCACTTTTTTATTGTAAATTTGTTTTATGGTTATTGGCTTAATTCTACTTCTCTGTGCAGCACTTTGGTCGGCTCTGTCGTTTTTAAATGTGCTATATAAATAAATTAAACTGAAACTGAAACTGAAACAAATCCGGTACGGTATCTGGACGTCTGACTACGACGTCCCTTGGACGTAGATATGCAGTTCAAAATGTGAATCTGACTAGGAGTTTTTTGAACGTCTGTACGACGTGCAGAACAAGTTCAGGAAATCGACGTAAGAACATATAAACTTTTGTTCTATAAACTAAAGAACAAATAACATGACAGCAATCCTGTGAGTTCTGATTTTTTTGATTTTTTATTAAACCACGTCTATTTTTATGAAACATTTAGGTGTTAAAATAGTGTAATATTTAAATGTTTAAAATGTGACCATTTAACTTTTTTTATGAGTGGTATGTTTCATGGGACATTGACAGAAACAGCAGTTTTCATCTATGTGTGATGTAATTAGATCTATTAATTACATATAATTAATTAAATGAAATAGATTTAAAATAAAATAGATTAATTAAATTAAGTTAAATAGATTTAAAGAGATAAATAGACCTAAATGTAATAGATAAAAGATTTAACAAATATTTAATAATACGATGTAATATTTATTATATTTATTATGTTATTATTATTTATTACATATTATTATAATATAATAAAATAAAATAAATTAGTTAAATTAAGTTAAATAGATTTAAAAGAGATCAATAGACATAGTATTTATATATATAATATTTATTATATTATTATTGTTTTTATTATATATTATAAGTTTAGCTCCAGCTTGCCTCAACACACCTGCCTTGAAGTTTCTAGTATGCCTAGTAAGAGCTTGATTAGCTGCTTCAGGTGTGTTTGATTAGGGTTGGAGCTAAACTCAGCAGGACACCGGCCCTCCAGGACCGAGTTTGGGCACCCCTGGTATAGACGCATTTTACTATAGAGCGGGGGAACTATAGCCCTATTCGGATGGGACTAGTTTTCTAAACTACGTTTGAGTTTCGATTCTTATCACCTGATGTCAGCGATTTTCATGTACCAATTCAGACGGGACTAACATCTCCGTGTTTATTACAGA